GGGAAGGGGGGGGGGGTATTGAATGGATGGAAGGGTGAGTTTATGGAAGACAGCGAACCTCATTCTCGGCATCAAGAGCACTGGTGGACTCGTCCATAAGTGCCAATCGTGCTGGCGACAGGAGTAGACGGCCAAAGGCTAGCCGCTGCTGCTCGCCCAAGGAGAGTACGCTCGCCCAATCGACATTCGAATCCAGACCATCGTACCGATCCAGCAGCGGTTCTAGCATCACTCGCCGCAGCACTACTTTCAAGTCGTCGTCGGACGGGCATTTTCCCTGAGCCCCCTTCCACTCTGCTTGTTCTTCATCTCCAGGAAAACCTACATGTGGGCCAAATTTCCAAATTTCCAAATTACTCGTTAGTTCTTCATTGCAATCTTCAACAAATATTAAATTCCCCAAAATCAAATCTTCAGCAGGTAAAAGCAGATCCCCCACACCAGGCTATATGCCTTTTTTTTTTTTTTTAAAGAACAAAACAAAAAAAAAAAAAAACAGCACACACACACACAAAAAAAAAGAACAAAAAAGAAGAAGAAGAAAAAAAAAAGAAAAAAAAAGAAAAGAAGAACAAAAAAAAAGAACACCCTTAAGAAGGGGATCAGCCATAGCCCTGAAGACAGTTGTCTGCGATTGTTTAGACCTCCTACGAATTGACTGTTTTTCTTTTTCTTTCCTTTTTAAGGGGGGGAGGAGGAGGAGGGGGGAGGGTTTCAACCTTCTGCAGGGGCCATGATGAATGATAAGCTGCTCGGCAAAACAGCTGTCAGCATGAGAATGGAGTGAAAGATGCACCCAGGCAAGCAATCCATTACGCACGCTTAAAGAGTCAATACTCAAGAACTCGAAACGGGGAATCACTTCCAGCGGATAACAGAAGATTCGATCAAAATATTAATGCATGCAGGGTAACCGGCGTTCGGGACGGGCCGAACGGCCGAGAACCCGAACGCCCGAACGTACGGAACCCCTTGGGGATGCGTTCGGCCGTTCGGGCCGAACGCGGACCCAAAAAAAAAAAAAGAACACAATTAAAAAAAAAGTTTAGAAAACTGAAAAAAAAAACATATGTTATGAAGACACATAAAATACACAACATTTGCCTGGGGTCTGGTCCCACCTACAGCGTTGAATTTTCTCAACGCTGAGCTTTCTATCAGACTATCACGTGTGGCATGGTGGGACAGAGCTCTGCCGTTGATGTATTGCGATCAAATGGTACCGAAATACAGGAGAATAACCTATTAGATTTTGTCTTCTTTTTTTTTTTTTTTTTTTTTTTTTAAAGGGCGATGGCCTTGAGGTATTATCATCGGACTAACCAGCCCAGGTAAATTCAATCTTGTGTCTAATCTGACAACGGTGGCCTTTTCAGCCCAAGGTGGCCGGAGGGGTACTCAGGGAGGCACAGCGACTGGCAACTCAGATGATGCTCGGTCCCTCTGCTACCGGCTGTCCCCTGGCCGGTGCCCCCCAGTGGGGGATCCCTATTAGATTTTGTCTTTTTGTAGAATTTTTCTTTGACGTGAAATCCGTTTTGTAGTATGCTTTGGCCCTTTTGGTTTGGGCGGGAAACCATTTTCCATCGAGAAAACTACCCTACCGAGGGTAGGGTACATTTCTCTTTTATTTTCTTTTTATTATTTTTTTTAAAACACGTGCTCCATCTATTGGTGGGGAGCAGCACCTGCTGGAAACCAGGTCCAGCGTCCCATAGATACAACCATATGCTCTGCACGAGCTGGGAACCGGGCCCAGCGTCCCATGAGTACATTCAGAAAAACCATCAGAAAATTTCATGACAATGAACCTAAGGATATACTGAGAAAGTCCAATTGAAAGAATTGAAAGAATTTAGAGCTACTTCAGAGCTTTTTTGTAAGGAACTGCAGAGATAATAAAAAAACAGAAGAAGACTCGGGAATCCACCAACAGTCCTCCTCACCCCACTCCGGCAAGACTTAGTGCAGCAAAGCCACCATCTCTACTGCTGCTATGCCCTATTTCTGTCCTACCAGCTAGCCCCTTCACTAGCAGGACGCGTGATACCTTTCTCTCTCGATCCCTTTCCTTCCCGTTGCTCAGAAAAAGGTACGGGAATAGACTGCAAAAGTCCTAAAAAAGCCCCCAATCCCGCAAAATCCCTAACAAAACCTTCCAAGGATCTCCAGGTAGGGTACATTTCTCAACTGCAGTGCCTTTCTGTTTTTTTGGTTTTTCAGACATCCTGAACCGGAGGAACTCTGACAGCTGTGTTTGGCTGTCTGACATCAAACTCGTTTCCTTCTTTGGGCAATGAATGCATTTGGCCATCCACGTCGTCCCTGTCCATTTTACAAATGGTGACCTCCTGTCCCCTCACCACGGGGAGTATCCCTTTTTCACGGAGACATTCACTCCCACTGTTCCAGACATGTTTCATTTCTCCGAGTTGCGTTATAAAAAATAAGGAGAAAAGCTGTTTCTAGCGTTTTTTTTTCAGTTTTAATTTCTTGTTTCGAATTATCAATGTCGAAATGGCGTCACACCGTTAAGTTTTCTAAACTCAACGATGGTAGGTGGGACCAGACCCATGAGCATTACATTCAAATTCCTTACCAAATTAGAAATAAAAATAAAAAAACACGAAAAAATAAAACTAATATTTTTTTTTTAAAAATAAGAAAAAATGAAAAGAGAATTAAAATTAGTTTGATGATTTTTTTTGTTTTTTTTGGCATAGCCAAATGCCCTCAAAATTGACAGATATGTATTTTACATCATACAAAACTCATTAAAAAAGTTTTAAAAAATAATATTTGTTTTTAGGACCTGCAACAAAGTGAAAACAACAAGTAAAAAGTGAAAAAAAAAAAAATAGTGAGTGGGCGAGCACGTTCTGACAGCGCCATCTTTGGTGATTTTTAATTTTTGTTTGGCTCAGCAAAATGACTTAAAAATTTATAGGAATGTACAGCAGCACATCATAGAGAGGTCACCAAAAAAAAAAATTCACAAAAAAAAACTTATTTTTAGGTCCCGAAATATAATTTTTGGCGGGGGCCAAACGCCTTTGGTTTCAGACCCCGAACGGGACCTCGAACGCCCGTACGTACGGAGGTCGGCCCGGGGACCTCCGTATGTATGGGCTGGTGACCCTGAATGGATGTCTCTCTCTCTCTCTCTATATATCGTCAAATAGAACTGGCCGGTAAACCGTAGGCAGAGAGGGAGAAGAGGACAACAAATGAGGGGCTGTGACAAACTGTTTCGTTGGAGTTTATATATATATATTTTAAGGGGCTGCGAGTGTCGTATGATCCAGGTACTCCGGCCAGGTTCATTCGACGGCTGCTTTGAATTATTATACAAGCCTGAAAACGGGTCCGGCATCCCTTACATCGTAAAGAAAAAGGGACACCGGCCCAGTTTCCCGGCTATATTAATATGGAAGTTCACTTTTCTGTTAAAAATAAAAATAAAATAAATAAATAAAAGTAAAATAAATAAATAAAAATTGCACAATCGCATCTTTCCTTTGCCGCATCCCTGTTTTGAAACCCGTCACCGAGATGAAGGGTTCCCAACAGGCCCTGACTCGCAACTGGTTTCGCCACACAAGGTCCACAACAACCAACCCACCAACAACCAGACAGCATCGGCATAAGTTCCAGCCTGTGGGACCAGAAGCTGATATTTCACAGCGGGACACAGATCGAGACATCCCTCCCCATCCAGCGAGTAACCCACTTTCCTGACTTATTTCCGCCTTGGGACGGTACAGTGCTTCAAGTGGGACACTGCTAAGTGGTCGAAGTGGGACTCTGAGAAGTGGTTCAAGTGGGACTAGAAGCTGCTATCGCTTTTTGGAACTGCAGTGGTTCTTCGGCGGGCACTGGAACCAGTTCCGAGTCAGTCGACCTCTGAGTGGTACGGTCAGACCGGGACTCTGTGAGCGGTACCTGTAGAGGCCATAAGGGAGTGGTACGGTCAGACCGGGACTCTGTGAGCGGTACCCGT